ATTTCAAGTTTTGTCGGAACTTCTAAGCCCTTGGGTGCAACTGTTTTGAATTTTGAAGATTGCTATGATAGCCAAGATATTAAAGTATACCTGATGTATGCGCATACGTTCCCATAGTTCTTTGACCAACTTGGCATTGGCAGTAATCTTTTATTGGATTATTATCGTTTGGTGTCGTGCTGTACTGAATCCAAACATTATATTTAGTCTGGCTTTTGTGTCTGAAAAAAATCTGTCAACAGATGAGGTCTTGAGAGTGCTGATTCATCGATATTTCATAATATTTGCGAATTCTGACTTTGCTCTCTTGGAGAGAGCTGGTTGTTTTAACTCTCTGAGCCAAACAGTTTGTTTTTGTAAGTAGATACTTCATTTGGCGTGCGAGTTCTATGTCTTTTCTGTCAGTTTCCGGTGATCTTAAATTTAGTGGTCACCGTATCCAATAGAGACATGCAGTCACAATCTTTAGCACTTCCTCAATTATATCAGTGAAGCAATTTGATAATAATTGAGCTCTAAAAACTATCCAATGCTTAAGACGGCCATGAAAAGACTCCAGATTTAGTAACTGTTCTGTCAATTTTAGCCTGTGCATCAGAGTGTTGTCTCTGACCAGTTTTAAGATATGATTGCATACTGGTATTAATACCAGATGCCTATATCATTGGCGTGACATCTCTAAAACCACGATCAACGACTACATTGTCGTCTTGCTCCAACCATGTGAGCTTGTCTATGATGTTTTGTAATGCTTGCATCATTTGGGCTTCCGAAGAATGGACATACTGTGTCCAAAATATAGCCATCAGGTAGAGCTAGGCTCATAAATTTAAAATAATTACGCTCTTTCTGGTCACCGTAAGACATTCTCTGACGCTTATTGACAGCACTTTATTTTAATATAAATATACGTACCATCTGTTAAGGCTGTCACTTTGTCTCCAAAGAACGTTTCTGAGAATAAAGTATTATGTGAAAGTATATGTTTCCCTTCTCAAATGGTCAGGACCGAGGAATACTAGAACTATAGATTTATTCAATGCTTGTACTACAGAATGAAAGGGTTTTTCAAATACTAGGTAGGGAAATAACAAAAAAAACGAACACTTTATAACAAGAGATATCAGTTTTTAACTTAAACCAAAACAGTAAAAGAGCATTTTGTGTAGTTTTGGAAAAAGGCCGATTGATTCTTTGATAATATGTACGACACTTCTAAAAGGTCATTAATTATTTCAGATGACCTACTTAATAATTGAGAATTCAAAGACTCTCTTCCTTATAGGATAACCTGTGCATGTACAAGGGTTCAAGGTCACTGCCAATAAGATGAAATGAGCATACACGTGATGATGCAGAACACCACAATTTGTGTGTGAAAATTTGCTGATATCTGGCACGTTTTTGCAGAAGTGTGGAATTGCTTCCCTTCGAATTAAAATTGTTAAAACAAATACAACATTTTTATGTGAACAGGACCCGTAAATTGATTGTTAACAAAAGCTTCATTAATCGCGCCAAGTGATGAAGCAAACTTGAATTTGGAATTCTTTGTGACCTAACATTCACTGAAAGGATTGCAACGAATTTGTTTGCCGATAAGCTGTTATCAGGTGCATTGCATTTTGGTGGACGCCAGGAAGGTCTCTTAGGCCCTCACCTTTTTGGGCACACAGGGTACTTTGTTGTGCGAAATGAATACTTTCCACCTCTTTTTTTTTACTGATATTTTGCATACCTATTTGAAATAACACCACTTCTTCATACTATGACAAGTTTTGGTATACAAGAATAATAAAAATGACAATTCCTATATTCTATATTTAAATTTTGACAAAATGTTTTATTAAATTCACATTCAGGATGATAAATATATTATTAAAACACTACATGAAAGAAAATGTTCTTTTCCAAGTAATACGATGCAAAAATTACTTTTTTTGTAGGAACAAAATTCAGGCTAATGTTCCATTTTTTGACCCCATGCTGTAATCAGGTTAATTAATCATCTAAATGATTAGTAGAGTTATTCAAAGTAATCACTTCAGATGTATAAGGGATTGAAAAAGTTAAAACAGCAGTTCCATCGTACTTAAATATAATGATATTGTTACTTGATGGCAATATTGCAATACGAACAAAGGAAGATATTAGCCTGTCTGCCATATATTTCATTTTATAATAAACAAAATTCAATTGTTGTTACTGAAAAGAACAATATTATGTATATTATGTTTCGGATAACTTGTAATAATAATAATAATAATAAACATAACAGAAACAAAAGGTCTTTTCACAAGTTTGTAAAAAAAAAAGCCCTAATTAAACTCTGTGCGAATACTCTCTGTGGCACCCCCTGTACGCACAAACTTTCAAAAGTTGAGCACCGGCAAGGTTTCTAGACACCCTGCGACCCTATACTCGAAAATTGTCAAAATTATATTTCGTTCAAATTCTATGTTCCTGGTCCTGGCTCGGGGTGAATGCCTATTTCAATCTTAATCAAACTCGGTGTGAAAGTTGGGCACCGGCATCCGTTTAACTTTAATTTCTTTATTCATTTTGAAAAAAACCGAACGACTGTCTAACTTTTCCTTCGCCCCCAGGAAAGGAAAGTTAAAAAGATATTTGTTATTCGAATAACGAAAAACAAATAACGAATAACTGTCCAACTTTACCTTGTCACGGGAAAGGGCTAGTTTTACTTAGGTTTTTAGTTTCTACATATTTTATTTGAAATAAAATTGGACACAAGTTATACAACTTAGAAAACGTCCTTTTCCTTAAGATGAAGGAATAATATACAATATACAATGGTTTCATAGTTACAGCAGATACATAGTGATAATATCATATTTATATATTTTAAATAAATCCAAAAACATAAATTTGATAAATGATGTAAATCAATAAGATATATTTTGTTACAGTATCCAAAATCCAAAAGCTGAATAATATAAAGACAAAGAAGTGGATATTTAAAAGTGTGTGTTGCCGCTATACCATATGGTACAAAATAAATACATACATTTCGACTGAGCTAATAAACGTGTAAGTACAATGTTAAAGAAAACATTTGTAATAAAATATTCATTGTTATAAATATTATGACAAATGATAAATGATGTTTCATATCAGGTTAATTTTCTTCGTGGTATAACATAATATTGATTATTTCTAAGGCAATATCAACTAGTTTCATTAACTCTGTTGGGATCAATGTCATTTAGATAGGACGGAGCAAATTTATTATGCATTTCATAAAATAAAATCAATAATTTATGTTTTCTTCTACCTTCAAACTTTTCCAACCAGTTTCATTATATAAAGATTGTCTGTTTGCAAATGGTGGAAGGCCGGTAACTACTCTAGCTGCTTCAAGTTGTAATTTTTTTTTTTAACTTTTTCTGAATTATTTTTCTTGAAGCCATCCCAATCTTGTGACCAATTATCAATTATAGCTAAATCATGGTTAATACAACATTCTATTTCAATATCATCATTCGAAGAGTAGGCAAGTGACGTATCATCTGCAAACATTCCTGATAGAGAAAGTGAATTATCGGATATGTCATTTATAAATATTATAAATAAAATCGGACAGAGGACAGCACCCTGGGGGCACACCAGCCTTACGAAAACTGACTGGGGAATAAGAATCTCCAAAGTAACAATTTGATTTCTTTCATTTAAGTAATCTTTAATCCAGTTAAGACATTCCCATAAAACCTTACGCTCTAAGTTTTTTCAATAATTCACTGTGCCAAACTCTATCGAAAGCTTTGGATATATAAAAAAATACCATACAAGTCAAAAGTTTATCTTACAAAGTTAAACAAATATTATGATAAATATACATCAGTTGGTAAGCAGTTGAATAGTCAGGAACAACAAAGATTGAAATTTATATAAAAGATTATACTTATAGCATAATTATGTAGATGTTTATTAATGACCCTTTCAAAACCTTTACTCACCGTACTAAGATGTGAAATAGGTCTATAATTTGATGAAATAAAACGTTCGCCCTTCTTAAATAATGGCATTACTACTGCTAATTTCCATTGTTTTGTAAAATGACATATTAAATATTATTAAGGGGAACACAAACAGTTTCAGCAGTATTGTTTAGCATTTCGTGTGTAATCTTATCATTTCCGGATGCTTTATAAGACTTTTAGGTTAACAGAATATCTTTCGCTCCTCTTTGGGAAAAGAATATTGTTTCAATAGTATTCTGACATCTGGATGAAAAGTCTCGAGTACGAGGTGGTTCATTAGTAATGTATGATATAGAAAAAAATGTACTCAGTAAATCTGCCTTTTTTATCATCAAACACAAGTTCAGCGTGTTCGTTAGATTCGTTACACCTAGCAATATGTCTAGTAAGAGGTACACCTTACACCTAGCGGTATGTCTAGTAAGAGGTACACCTTACACCTATCGGTATGTCTAGTAAGAGGTACACCTTACACCTAGCGGTATGTCTAATACGAGATACGCCTTACACCTAGCGGTATGTCTAGTAAGAGGTACACCTTACACCTAGCGGTATGTCTACCAAGAGGTACACCTTACACCTAGCGATATGTCTAGTAAGAGTTACGCCTTACACCTAGCGGTATGTCTAGTAAGAGGTACGCCTTACTCCTAGCGGTATGTCTAGTAAGAGGTACACCTTACACCTAGCGGTATGTCTAGTAAGAGATACGCCTTACACCTATCGGTATGTCTAGTAAGAGGTACACCTTACACCTAGCGGTATGTCTAGTAAGAGATACACCTTACACCTATCGGTATGTCTAGTAAGAGGTACACCTTACACCTAGCGGTATGTCTAGTAAGAGGTACACCTTACACCTAGCGGTATGTCTAGTAAGAGGTACACCTTACACCTAGCGGTATGTCTAGTAAGAGGTACACCTTACACCTAGCGGTATGTCTAGTAAGAGGTACACCTTACACCTAGCGGTATGTCTAGTAAGAGGTACACCTTACACCTAGCGGTATGTCTAGTAAGAGGTACGCCTTACACCTAGCGGTATGTCTAGTAAGAGGTACACCTTACACCTAGCGGTATGTCTAGTAAGAGATAGCCTTACACCTATCGGTATGTCTAGTAAGAGGTACGCCTTACACCTAGCGGTATGTCTAGTAAGAGGTACACCTTACTCCTAGCGGTATGTCTAGTAAGAGGTACGCCTTACACCTAGCGGTAAGTCTAGTAAGAGGTACGCCTTACTCCTAGCGGTATATCTAATAAGAGGTACACCTTTCTCCTAGCGGTATGTCTAGTAAGAGGTACGCCTTACACCTAGTGGTACATGTATGTCTAGTAAAAGGGACACCTTACTCCTTGAAACTTTGATCAGATGGAATTGTCTTTGTTGTCATTCAGACTTAATTCGACATCATTATCGTCTGGATATGATGATATCGCTGGCTTCCATTCTTTTGTTGGTTTCAGTGATTTATAAAGTCTCTGAAACGATACAAACGTAGAAAATAGATGACGAAATGGATGATAGCCACGAAACTATTAGCACATTAAAAACGAAAGATTTAGACATGTGTATAACAAAGGTTAGTGTCATAACGCCAGATTAGTATTAAAAGACGACACACAAGACATCAAGGAAGTACCAAAACAAAACGGAGCGTACTGTTGGTAAAAATTTGATTTTCATACAACACTTCATATGGCAAAAGGATAGCTAACCTCAGTTACACTACCCTACTGACATCTGATAGTAAGTGACATTGTTACTGGGATAGGTGCAAAGACAGCTGTCCTCAAATTGAGGAACATTATTATACTTTGATTGGTACTTTATAAAATGTATCACCTGTACGAGATAGCCTGATCTCGTTCAGTTACAGGTAGTTGATTATTTTCTCGCACCTTTTATTCCTAAAAACTATTTGATTTCACTAAATCCTACATGTATCCTGCCACGGGCCTCAAATAAATATGGCCTATTCACTATTAAAGCTACGTTTGAATACTTCCGCGTTAAAATGTAGCCCGTCCTTGCAAGACAACGCATTTCATAGTGAAGATTACTTTTGTTCAACAACATCATATAACGACATAACAGATTAATATGAATTTCAATCCGTTATCACGTGGATGAATACATTGCTGTGTGAAATTTCCGTAAAATGTCACCTAAAAATGCTAGACAGATTGGACGAGAAATAAAGCAAATCCTAGCACGGGGTGTGAGATTGGATATCTTTGTCTGAGGGGGGAAATGATATCTTACCCAAGTTTCACTACCCTTTTGACATATGAGAGTGAGTAATAGTGTTTCTGGGATTGATACAAAGACAGGTAATCTCAGTTATACTAAAGTTTTACGTCTGAGAGTGAGGAACATTGTTTCTTTGATTGGTACAAATATAGCTTACTTCCCTTAGACTGCCCTTTTGGCGTCTGTGAGTGAAGAACATTGTTTCTGTGATTGGTACAAATATAGCTTACCTCAGCTAAACTGCCCTTTTGGCGTCTGAGAGTGAGGAACATTGTTTTTGTGATTGGTACAAATATAGCTTACCTCCCTTAGACTGCCCTTTTTACGTCTGAGAGTGAGGAACACTGTTTCTGTGATTGGTACAAATATAGCTTACCTCCTTTAGACTGCCCTTTTGACGTCTGAGAGTAATGAACATTGTTACTGGGATTGGTAACAACGGAAGAATGCCGATGATCCAGCCGATTCCTATAGACCAGGCAGGGTAGGGAGTCGAACCATAGGTCACTGGCTGGTGATTGATGACCCCTATCAGCCACAATACCTGAGTAATAGAACACACATCACATCAGTTCACATGAAGTGTTAAATAATTAAGTTCGCGTCCATTTCGTAGGAGCTTAGTTTGAGTTATGCATTAAGGGCACTGAAGGCCAAACATTTTTAGTAACGAGATGCTCTACTTACAGCGGAAAGAAACGGTGTGATGTATTTCCAAAGTACCATCCACAGTCTGTTTGGTTGGTAGCCAATCATTGCCTCAATGTCCTTATAGATGCGGTCGGTACCTGAAATAAAACAAGACTGTCGTGATTTCAAAACTGGCATCAAAATGCCTTGTGCGAAATAATACCAATGCAATTATTGGCTTATCAATGATAACAGCTCATATTAATGAAGTATTGTGGACAACCACTATCATTTAAAATTATACATGATGTTGCTTTCTGGCATAAATAATATTACCTTTATACATCTTTTGTGTTTTGTTTGAGAGACGTTTTGTAAAATGTTTGACATCGCACGGAGTTCATGAAATCGTACTCGTACTCAAAATCAAATTTCTTTTTTCTTGTTCCGGCGAGAAATTACTTTTTAAACTCACTTTTTTTCTGTAATTTGGAAAAACAAACTGGACAACCTTAAGGATGCACACCTCTGAGAAGTAAAGCAATTCCTGTATTATACTTTTATATCTTATATGCATTTTTGGAAAAAGAAGTTAATGGCATATTAGAAAATGCAAAAAGAATTACATGTCGGGGTGCTCGTTTTTGTGATATGATCGGTCAAATAAACCAGTTTAAGTTTGAATTATGCATTAAGGGCACCTAGGCCAAACAGGCATTGTAGTCTTCAGGAACGATGAACGCGTAAATAAACGGGCCAACAAGCGTGATTATTATAACTTGAAAGGTTTCATAATTGTTGTAAAATAAATAAAGTTTATATAATTATATAACAATTTAACATTATATGTGATTTTAGATGATTCTGTTTATGTTTTGACCATTTGCAAAACAAACTCTCAAAACCACAGAGTTACATGCGGTGTTCCACAAGGTAGTATTCTGGGACCACTTTCATTTTTATGCTATGTTAATGACATGGAACTGAGCATAAGTACCGACTGTAAAGTATTATTGTATGCAGACGACAGCGCTATTTTGTTTTCTGATAAAAATCTTGAGGAAATTAAAAATAAATTATCCAGAGAAATATCCAACTGTAATATATGGCTGATCCTTACATCTTGGCAAGACGGAATGTATATTGTTCGGTACTAGACAAAAACTAAAATAAAGTTGACAACTTCGAAATAAATGTAAATGGCAAAACAATAAAAGCTTCAGAAAAAGTGTGCTACCTTGGCGTTGATATTGATCAATTTTTGACAGGAAACTTCATTACTGAGAACATAATAAAGAAAGTAAATTCTCGACTACATTTTTTGTTCATAGACAATGTAAAAATCTTCCTCTGGACATAAGAAAGACGCTTTGTAATTCTCTAGTGCTATGTAATTTTGACTACTGCTGCTCAGTCTGGTATTATGGTTTAAATCAAAGGTTAAAAAACCCAGTTTGAAGTAGCACAGAACAGATGTGTACGTTTTATTTGTGATTTTGGGCCAAGGACGAGAATAGATGGTAAAGTCTTAACAAATCTGAATCTTTTGAATGTTGAAAACCGAGCAAATCAATTGGGCTTAAACCATATGTTCAATTTGTATTTCACGAAACTTGTCCAAGTTATATTACAGAAAAATTTACGAAGGTTAATGAACGCCATGGATACGCAACTAGAAAATCATCTTTAAACTTTACAGTGCCATGTGCAAAAGGTCAGATGTCAAAGACTTTCTTTTACAACGGGATTAAGATTTGGAACGTTTTACCTTCTTCTATAGCAAACAAAATAAATTTTAAGAAGAGAGTGAAAACATTTTTACAGCAGAGTTCTTGATATTTTAGGACTAGTTATATGTAACACATAATGCGTTTTATGCAACAGAGACCGTTAGTGTTTAATACTTATATGAATACTACCATATGTGACACAGAACATGGGTGGTGATGTTAATTTTGTACTCAATATATTACCCTGTGATAAATATATGCATGTATTGACTTGTAATTGTATTTGTAAAATGATCGTATTTATGTTATATGTTAGGGACCACAGTGGAAATAAGTCAATTTGACACACCAGACATCTATCCGTCAGAATGTCTAAACTCTGGTGTCAGGGCCAGAGGAAACTCGGGCTAGTTAGTACTTATTACGTCTCCGACAATCTTAAAATTAGAAACAAAAAAATCATTCCTTCCCTCCCTACTCATCTATTTGATTCGGTGAACTATTAATTCCTACCGTATATCCAGGCTAACACAGTGACCTCCATCCCTACAAGCACCATAATTGATAAGCTGGAAATGTACCAGTCTGTTAGCTGTACCACGTACATACCACCCTTAAGTAGAAACAAACAAACATTTTGGAATTCAGCAAGATTACAATTAGGAACGTTTTACACAATGTCGATACATAAAAAACCAGATATAATAAGGTATCGTATATTTTCATATCAGAGCTATGATCAGAAGATTAAAACGGGCAGTAACTCTCCAGTAACTGTTTATATTTATGTTGTACCAAGGCATTGCATTTATTTCTTTGTTGGTTATATATATATAATACGGGGTTATGAATTTGTTATCAAATTCATTGTGCCCGAATCTATTCTGTGAAACAAGTTGATCACCATTCTCACAAGTTAAATAATGTAATTTAATTGGGGGAAAAAGAACTTTTCTTTATATTAGAAAAAAACATGTAGTAGTCAAGAAATTATGACGTATTCATTAGCTTAATCAAAGTCAATGCCTAACAACATAAGATACTCACTTGTGTGGTGAAAATTATCCCACATATCCCGGACAACAATATGATGCTTGCTACAGTCACGAGTCTACGGCGGCCGAATACTGTCGGCCAAGTGTCCGTCAGTCCTGTATAGAGCAGTTGTATGTGTACAATCTGTAAACACAAATTCGTTTAAATCATACACCATGTCATGAACTATTAAATTTGAAAGGGAATTTCTGAATCACTCGCCTTCAATCCTGAAACGTCGGAATGAAAACGACCCCACTTTTTGAAAAGATGGGTGCCAATTTGGGCCTTCTGGTGGCTTTTAACGATAACTGTTTTTGTATAAACCTTGGATTATTCTGTCGCGATATGAAATTGAAGTTAGCTTGGAGATCTTTCCGAGATATGAGGGGGAAAAGTTCACTAATATCGCAAAAATCACTAATGGCGTCTTTTCGACAAAACAATATGTTATGTTTTGAAACGTGCTTCATGATATTGATGCATTATGTAAAACTTACTATGCAAATAATAATAATAATCAGTTACCGAAAAAATAGCGCATAGTTGATAATAAGGTCACTGTGGCATTGTTATATAGCGATTTAATTATGTCAGCGATTTTACTCTGTTTTGTACTTAATTACACATAAGAAACATTCATAAATCTTATCAAATTACCCAAGAAATCAACGAAATTACAAAAAAACACGAAAACTATTATTTTCATAGTATTAACGAATCAGAGCAGGTAATTAATTAATTCCAAATTTATATATACTGTAAAGTGGAATTTTACGTTAAAGTTTAATTTAAGCAAACGTTTGACTTGACGGTGGACTATTTTTGAGTATACTTTTTCTATAGATGTAAATAAAAAAGGTTAAAAATAATGATCTCGAAGAAGACGGGAACTTGTTATTTAATGGTAGTTATGTGCCTAAGATCATTGTCAGAGCAGGTGAGGCGATAAAGTTATGTAACGAAGAAAGTCTAAACAACAATAGTAAAACATTATAAGAGTATTATAATGTTAGGATATCAAGGTAAAGTAATACTTAGTATTCAATAGTTTGGTTTGGTTTGGTTTGTTTGTGTTTTACATCCTATTAACAGCTACATGGTCATTTAAGGACGTGCCAGGTTTTGGTGGTGGAGGAAAACCGGAGTTCCCGGAGAAAAAACACCGACCTACGGACAGTACCTGGCGACTACCCCACATAGGTCTCGAACCCGTGACCCAGTTGTGGAGGGCTAGTGAAAGCAAAATGTCAGACGCCTTAACCACTTGGCACCGCGGCCCCATATGTTAATATAACTGCGGGTAACAAATCAATGACAATAAACATGTCAGTTTAAATCAATATGATAAAGATGAAATGGGCATGTCGCATAAGCTACCGGTAAATAATGGTTTACGGGGAAAAGTTTTTCCTAATCTTAAAGAAAAGAAATACAAGAAATTAAAGATAAATTACGGAATGGAAACGCGTTTCAAAATGAGTTATTTCCCCAAATAAATGTGTCTTTGCGATAATGATATGTGGTTTTAACTTTCTAATCTTGTTTCTTAAATTTTGAATACCTTTCTGAAACTATTAAATTATTGCATTATAAACATAGTATTTTAAAAATGGCTGCCATTGTAATAAGTTCAGCTTTGCCTTAGTTAAAGAAATTTGAATATTAGTCATATCTATAATGTTTATACACAGTTTCTCTGTTAGAAACTCTCAACACGTTTGAACATTTGTTATTAAAGAATGTGTAGGCACTGCTAATCATGGTAGAAGAAGTCCAAAGCTTTATAAGAGTGTGCTGAATGGTTGCTATGCTAAATTCTAAGCGAAAACTCCAAGAAATTGAGTGAATATTCAGATTTCATTAGTTCATAGAAATTGAAGATGGTTTCCAGAGTAATTTAAATTGAAAACAGAAATAAATGATATCCTACTAGTGTTTGGAAGTTTATAAAAATTCAGCGATTTGACTTCAATTTACTGTTTGAATATTTATGGAATAAGGCCTCGAACCATATAACTATATTAAACAAAGTTATGTAAGTTCAATGGTTATTTAAAATGAACACAAGGCAAGGAAATATCATTATGTTACTTGCGCTACCTGTGAATCTAATCCCACAGTAAACAGCATGAGGAAGAAGAGAGCCGACCAGAGCTGAGGTACCTGGAGAGTAGCCAAGGCCTCCGGGTACACAATGAACGCAACTCCAGGTCCTTAAACATTCAAAACGTGATTACTGGAAAAATATCAACATCATGTTACACGTCAAGAACACACCTGAATTCCATGTCCAGCATGTATCGTTTATACTTCCTCAATCGCTAGTGTGTAGAAACTCTTTGTGTGCTTGTACCGTTACTTTAGAAATATCTTAATGACGTCACCTTTTTCATCAAACCGTCATTTCAAAAGTATCTGTCTTTCACTCCCTCCTTCCTCTTTCTTTCTTTCTTTCTTTGTCTAGAGATAGAGAAGTTCATCGTCAAAACATAAAACTTCACCGAGCTTATCATCGTAATTCTAACATTTACCTTATTGACGTGCATATATCCCGCCAAAATTAATACAAATCTAGTATTTGGTTTGAGGAAAACTACCTAACGAGCTGTCAGACTCCCAATACACTCTACACTCCAATCTCTCAATAACCTGACTCCAGACTCTATATACACTCAAGACTCCACGTCTCGTGACCCGTCCAAAATCCAAAACACCGCCTGCTCTCCGTCTCCTAATTCGTCATACATGTACTACATATACACTCCGGAATTCCTATCTCCGGACACATCAGACACCATAAACACTGCAAACTTTCTATCTCCTTCAATATCAGGCTTAAGAAGAATTCAAGACTCTCACTTTCCATATACGCCCTACTCACATACGAATGGATATTAAACCCATCAAAAAAAGCAATACTATAATTCATATATCAAGTTTTTATTAGATTGGTCGAAAACGGAGAAATCGGAAAGAAGAAATATGCTGTATGACGAGCAACAACTCTTTCAAAATCGTCGAATCTATATTCCGAAATTAAATACACAACATGGTGTCCTGATTATAAAGTCTATCAGTTTTAAGGAAGTTTGGTTGAAAACTTGGTAATATAGATATATGACTTTTCTGACGCTTCTTAATATTCCGTGACGAATTGATCCGACCGTGGTTTAGATGTCACCTATCGTCGATGAAGCAGAAGGCGTCTATTAGTTCGATGGACCTAGTCTGATTCTTTCTGTATATCAAGTCTCTAATAACTTTAGATTATTTTTTTACTCAGTTTTTGGTCCTAATTGGTATTTGGTTTACACTTTTTTTTTTTTTTTTACCTTTCTCCCCTTTTTTTTAGATAAATGTAGACTGTGCCATTCAATATACAGATGCAAGGGATCCGAAATAGGCTGTATGGGCAAGTAAGGATAATTATTTTGAAAACTCAACGTATATAAATCGAACTCTATATTTCGTATTTTTATTTAGTTCAGAGGTCAACAAGTCCTTAAAACTGGTATTTTTCCTCCTCACTCTATTTCCCTTTGCTGGTTATCATACTTAGTCAAGGGCCGGTCTGCCTCTCTTTGAATCACCGTGTGTCCGGTTATTCGTGTGTGTGCTTGACTGTTTGGCAAATTAAGCGAACCTCTTTGCTCAATCATATTGTGCACTGTCCCTATATGACATTTCTGCCTCCTTTTCTGGCCACTTTTCATTTATACAAAATATAATATCCCTAGCCCAAGAATTTTTTATAATAACATTTTGTCAATTCTGTTCTTTCAGTATTTTGATATCTAAAGGAAAAAGAGGTTAGAGAAAAAAAATCCAAAAATTGGCATATGCAGCGAATCATCTAGAAAAAAAATTCTCTTGTTCTAGGAAAGATTAAGTCTTAAATAAAAAAAGGGCGGAACTCGAGTTATGTCTTGGTCATCCTGTTACTTGAATAAATAAAATGTGAAACAAATAATGGAATGTCATGTTTGGAAAAAATGTGAAACAAATAATGGAATGTCATGTTTGTGAGCAACTTCACACGAAAAAACAATATGCAAGATAATTATATCAAAAATAGCCTTTTTTCAAAAGCAATTGTACATGGATTTTAGTAATGCAAACAGATTGCGATTTTGTTCATAGATCCCATTAAAAGTGCATGGGGTGATGGAAGTATTTAACATAAGTGTAGAGGACCATGCAATCACATTTGCACTCGAGAAGAAGTTAAAGCATTGTTTAAAAGAGTATTTGATGAAGGATGTACACGAACACACGTCAAATTTATCGTGCGCCAATTTCCATCGTTTCCTCCTGCACTGAACAAAGAAAACACTCAAAAGAAGTTTAAAGATACATCTGATTATACAGTTAAGAAATAGGTAAATTGGAATACACTTTATGTTTGTTCATAATAATGAATGCTTTGGATAATTAGAATCTTTTGTTTGTAGCGATCATTTTGTTACAAATATATCACAGAATGGTGAAATAAAGGAATCTCAACACCACAGAGACGTTTTGTGTGATTTACTATCTACATGTTTCGGCCTGCTATGCGGCCATTATCAGGACCATATCATAGCAGCAGGCTGAAACATATAGACAGTAAATCACACAACACGTCTTTGTGGTGTTGAGATCATTATGATTTATATGTAAGGAGCTCTATTGAATCCACTCACGGTTCCACATTAGGAGGGTATTATCACCAATTATATATTTTTAAATATCTCACAGGTAATAACCTAGACAATGCACCTCACCGAAGCTAGATGTAATGTATGTATGTGTAATGGGATAGTTATGTAGATCAGCCCTGTTGCCACAACACAACAATATATGTGACTATATTTACCTTGGTCTACCACATCTGCCATAGATAAGTTCGCCTCCTGTGCCATGTAGCCTAACGTGACAAACACCACACAGCCAGCGAACCAACTGGTGAAGGCGTCAAATATCGGAATTATTATCGCATCTCTGAAAAAAGGAATATATAGAACATGTTGTAGTGTTACGTGAAGCTAATCAACTGGTAACGTGTCAAATGTTGGGAGCATCGTCACATCTTAGCATGTATACACATCTAATGGAATTAACGTTTTCACCATAAGTGTGGAAATTTCCTTATTCAATATTACCAATTTAAAAGCTAAGTTTTATGTAGAGTGCTTTAATAGAAAATTGTCAACTTTAGACAGACTCTCTAACAAACCGAAGTGCCTAATCGCTGGACACAGTCAGTCCTGCTACACCCATCCCTCTCTCCAGCCTAAAGAAAATGCGAGACCATATATCACCCTGGTAAAATACCGTCTCGGCTAAGCAGAATTTCTCTTTAGCTCATTCGGTAGAGCGTACGACTAGTAAGCCAGAGGTCCTGGGTTCGACTTCAAGCGGAGCCATTGAAAAAATAATGACCTCTGTTACACTTGTATTACCTTGCTGGGTTATGAATTCAACAGTAAAACCTAATATGACTCACCTGCCGGAGAATTTATGATATAGATATTTTTGTGACTTGCCTATAAATGTTGTTATGGAACTTGTTATGACTGGCCAATGCAATGAGGGCACTGGAAGAAAGACTTAGAGAGTAGATAGTCTGTGACGCGGCATCCACCCAAACCTGCAAAATGAAACAAGGAAGTGTACTACCAGATATGTGATTGGCAGCTGTCAAAAAGTAACCTGTCATATTTGTTACAAAGTGAGTTATTTTAGCAAAAGTGCATTAATTTTGATCAGCATGATAAAATGTTTCTTGCAAAAGAAAATAACATTAACGTTTCAAGTCGAGTTTAACAGAAATCCAGCAATGACAATCAAGCATTGAGTTTAAAATATAATTGACTGAACATATAGAAAAGGCTAAATATCCAGTTTGTTTATGACAAAATAAATATATGATAAAGATTAGGATTTACGGTAAATTTTAGGAGCTCTTCCCATCTTGGCACCATGTAATATTTCAGTCCCTGTAATGATCCAGGAAGGGTGAGACCCCGGATTAAAAGGATCAAGAGAAACACGTAGGGGATCGTCGCCATCACGTACATCACCTGATTGACAAAAAAGACAAAGACGGCATAATGAACGCTTAGTTTTTTTTATTGTAATCCTATTGGTCTATAGTTATACATTTCGGATACACACTATAGCTATAAGTATTTATGTGATATAGACTATAGTAGAGTCTCGTTCTGGGATTCGGACAAGGTGGCTCCCAGCAGCCTAGCAAGCAATGTCTGTACACGTCTGCGAATAAACCCAAATGGATCGTTTTCTGAGTTGTCATGTCATTCTCAAAGGCTAACAATTCTAACCGATGTTTTCCACGTTGGAATATTTTTTTTCAACCTTGAACAAAATTGGGATTAAAATGCCAATCTTTATACTAAGAACGAATCTATAACGGGTTCCGCTTTGGTACACGCATTTACAATGACTCTTTGGTTATTTAACAATATAACTTACGGTCCTATGTTGTGTAAGCATGTATGATATGTTTATTGTTGTGTATGTATTTATGATATGTTTATTGTTGTGTATGTATTTATGATATGTTTATTCTTGTGTATGTATTTATGATATGTTTATTCTTGTGTATGTATTTATGATTGTTTCTACATCGGGAACATATATATAAAGGATTTAGAAGTTCTTTTTACACAAACATTAAAAGTTTCTATGTGACGTTTCGATAACTAGTACGGTATGTACACTGTCACCTTCATCAGACAAATGACCAGTGAAGCGTATGCACACAAAGGTGTAAAATGTGTACGAGTTGTCCACACAATCGATGTCGATTCGGTACATATATAACAACTATTGTACATACGCTTACAGTGTAGCCGAATCGACATCGAATTTGTATGACAACTCGTACACATTTTACACCTTTGTGTCATCTTATATCATCCAACATATAGCTTACTTTATGTGTAACAGTCAAAATCAGAGAGTTTACCAACAGTAATAAATTGTATATAATCACAAACTCTGAAGTAATCACTTACATAAATATGGAAACTTAATATTCCTTGTTTAAAGTGCTATCATAATAAAAGTTCCTTTGATTATTCATTTTCCTCTAGTGTTACTAGTGTAGAGTTGTTTTCGATGTTGTGTTACGTGTATAGAGTTGGTTCCCGTGTTACGTGTGTAGAGTTGGTTCCCGTGTTATGTGTATAGAGTTGGTTCCGGTGTTACGTGTGTAGAGTTGGTTCCCGTGTTACGTGTATAGAGTTGGTTCCCGCGTTACGTGTGTAGAGTTGGTTCCCGTGTTACGTGCATATAGTTGGTTCCCGTGTTACGTGTGTAGAGTTGGTTCCTGTGTAGTGTTACGTGTGTAGAGTTGGTTCCCGTGTTACGTGTGTAGAGTTGGTTCCCGTATTACGTGTGTAGAGTTGGTTCCCGTGTTACGTGTGTAGAGTTGGTTCCTGTGTTGTGTTACGTGTGTAGAGTTGGTTCCCGTGTTACGTGTTTAGAGCTGGTTCCTTTGTTGTGTTATGTACGTAGAGTTTGTTCCTGTGTTGTGCTACGTGTCTATAGTTGGTTTCTTGGTTGTGTTAGGTGTGTAGAGTTGGTTCCTGTGTTGTGTTACGTGTGTAGAGTTGGTTACTTGGTTGTGTTACGTGTGTAAAGTTGGTTCCCGTGTTGGGTTACGTGTTTAGAGTTGGTTACTTGGTTATGTTACGTTTGTAGAGTTGGTTGTGTTGTGTTACGTGTGTAGAGTTGGTTCCTGTGTTGTGTTACGTGTGTAGAGTTGGTTCCTGTGTTACGTGTTTAGAGTTGGTTACTTGGTTATGTTACGTGTTTAGAGTTGGTTGTGTTGTGTTACGTGTGTAGAGTTGGTTCCTGTGTTACGTGTATAGAGTTGATTCCTGTGTTACGTGTGTAGAGTTGGTTCCTGTGTCACGTGTTTAGAGTTGGTTACTTTGTTGTGTTATGTGTGTAGAGTTGGTTCCCGTGTTGTGTTATGTGTTTAGAGTTGGTTACTGTGTTGTGTTACGTGTGTAGAGTTTGTTACTTGGTTGTGTTACGTGTGTAGAGTTGGTTCCCGTGTTGTGTTATGTGTTTAGAGTTGGTTACTGTGTTGTGCTACGTGTGTAGAGTTGGTTCCTGTGTTGTGTCGTGTGTGTAGAGTAGGTTCCTTTGCTGTGTTAAGTACGTAGAGTTTGTTCCTATGTTGTGTTATTTGTGTAGAGTTTGTTCCTTTGTTGTGTAATGTGTGTAGAGTTTGTTACTTTGTTGTGTTACGTGTGTACAGTTGGTTCCTGTGTTGTGTTACGTGTATAGAGTTGGTAACTGTGTTGTGCTACGTGTGTAGAGTTGGTTCCTGTGTTGTGTTACGTGTGTAGAGTTGGTTCCCGTGTTGTGTCACATGTTTAGAGTTGGTTACTGTGTTGTGCTACGTGTGTAAAGTTGGTTCCCGTGTTGTGTCATGTGTTTAGAGTTGGTTCCCGTGTTGTGTTAAGTGTATAGAGTTGGTTACTGTGTTGTGCTACGTGTGTAGAGTTGGTTCCTGTGTTGTGCTACGTGTGAAGAGTTGGTTCCCGTGTTGTGTCAAGTGTTTAGGGTTGGTTACATGGTTGTATTACGTGTGTAGAGTTGGTTCCCGTGTTGTGTTACGTGTATTGAGTTGGTTACTGTGTTGTGCTACGTGTTTAGAGTTGGTTACTTGGTTGTGTTACGTGTGCATAGTTGGTTACCGTGTTGTGTTAGGTGTTTTGAGTTGGTTACTGTGTTGTGCTACGTGTTTAGAGTTGGTTTCGTGGTTGTGTTACGTGTGCATAGTTGGTTTCCGTGTTGTGTTAGGTGTATAGAGTTGGTTACTGTGTTGTGCTACGTGTGTAGAGTTGGTTCCTGTGTTGTGCTACGTGTGTAGAGTTGGTTCCCGTGTTGTGTTACGTGTGTAGAGTTTGTTACTTGGTTGTGTTACGTGTGTAGAGTTGGTTCCTGTGTTGTGCTACGTGTATAGAGTTGGTTCCCGTGTTACGTGTGTACAGTTGGTTCCCGTGTTACGTGTATAGAGTTGGTTCCCGTGTTACGTGTTTAGAGTTGGTTCCCGTGTTACGTGTGTTGAGTTGGTTCCCGTGTTACGTGTATAGAGTGTGTGTAGAGTTGGTTCCCGTGTTACGGGTATAGAGTTGGTTCCCGTGTTACGGGTATAGAGTTGGTTCCCGTGTTACGGGTGTAGAGTTGGTTCCCGTGTTACGGGTATAGAGTTGGTTCCCGTGTTACGTGGGTAGAGTTGGTTCCCGTGTTACGTGTATACAGTTGGTTCCCGTGTTACGTGTGTAGGGTTGGTTCCCGTGTTACGTGTATAGAGTTGGTTCCCCTGTTACGTGTGTAGAGTTGGTTCCCGGGTTACGTGTGTACTGTTGGTTCCCGTGTTACGTGTATAGAGTGTGTGTAGAGTTGGTTCCCGTGTTACGCGTGTAGAGTTGGTTCCCGTGTTACGTATATAGAGTTGGTTCCCGTGTTACGAGTGTAGAGTTGGTTCCCGTGTCACGTGTTTAGAGTTTGTTCTTATGTTGTGTTACGTGTTTAGAGTTGGTTCCCGTGTTACGTGTACAGAGTTGGTTCCCGTGTTACGTGTGTTGAGTTGGTTCCCGTGTTACGTGTATATAGTTGGTTCCCGTGTTACGTGTATACAGTTGGTTCCCGTGTTACGTGTATAGAGTTGGGTCCCGTGTTACGTGTATAGAGTTGGGTCCCGTGTTACGTGTATAGAGTTGGTTCCCGCGTTACGTGTGTAGAGTTGGTTCCCGTGTTACGTGTATAGAGTTGGTTCCTGTGTTACGAGTGTAGAGTTGGTTCCTGTGTCACGTGTTTAGAGTTTGTTCTTATGTTGTGTTACGTGTTTAGAGTTGGTTACTGTGTTGTGCTACGTGTGTAGAGTTGGTGCCTGTGTTGTGTCGTGTGTGTAGAGTAGGTTCCTTTGCTGTGTTAAGTACGTAGAGTTTGTTCCTATGTTGTGTTATTTGAGTAGACTTTGTTCCTTTGTTGTGTAATGTGTGTAGAGTTTGTTACTTTGTTGTGCTACGTGTGTAGAATGTGTTTCTATGTTGTGTTACGTGTGTAGAGTTGTTTCCCGTGTTGTGTTACGTGTGTAGAGTTGGTTACCGTGTTGTGTTACGTGTGTAGAGTTGGTTCCCGTGTTGTGTTACGTGTATAAAGTTGGTAACTTGGTTGTGTCACGTGTTTAGAGTTGGTTACTTGGTTGTGTTAGGTGTGTAGAGTTGGTTCCTGTGTTGTGTTACGTGTGTAGAGTTGGTTCCCGTGTTACGTGTGTAGAGTTGGTTCCCGTGTTGTGTTACGTGTGTAGAGTTTGTTCCTTCCCGTGTTGTGTTACGTGTGTAGAGTTGGTTACCGTGTTGTGTGTTACGTGTGTAGAGTTGGTTCCTGTGTTGTGCTACGTGTGTAGAGTTGGTTTCCGTGTTGTGTCAAGTGTTTAGGGTTGGTTACTTTGTTGTGGTACGTGTGTAGAATGTGTTTCTATGTTGTGTTACGTGTGAAGAGTTGTTTCCCGTGTTGTGTTACGTGTGTAGAGTTGGTTACCGTGTTGTGTTACGTGTGTAGAGTTTGTTCCTATGTTGTGTTACGTGTATAAAGTTGGTTACTTGGTTGTGTCACGTGTTTAGAGTTGGTTACTTGGTTGTGTTACGTGTGTAGAGTAGGTTCCCGTGTTGTGTTACGTGTGTAGAGTTTGTTCCTATGTTGTGTTACGTGTATCGAGTTGGTTACTTGGTTGTGTTACGTGTGTAGAGTTGGTTCCTGTGTTGTGTTACGTGTATAGAGTTGGTAACTGTGTTGTGCTACGTGTGTAGAGTTGGTTCCTGTGTTGTGCTACGTGTGTAGAGTTGGTTCCTGTGTTGTGTCACATGTTTAGAGTTGGTTACTGTGTTGTGCTACGTGTGTAAAGTTGGTTCCCGTGTTGTGTCACGTGTTTAGAGTTGGTTCCCGTGTTGTGTTAAGTGTATAGAGTTGGTTCCTGTGTTGTGCTACGTGTGTAGGGTTGGTTCCTGTGTTGTGTCACATGTTTAGAGTTGGA